AGGAAAATACAGAATGAAATGTATCGAACACAGATTATCATCTATAATCTTCCTGAAGACCTGAACACATCAAAGAACAGTAGTTACAGTGTTACTGTGTACTGAAGAGCACCTAACCTGAGAGCATGGCAACCAACACAAGAACATTTTCAGCACTATTGCTGCAATAAGTTTGATTTCAAAATAAAAAATTTGGTTGCATTTGAATGCAGCCCAGAGTGTCACTGTGCACGCAATAAAAACATGAATGTCTTTCTCTGGATCTGGTCATGACAGAAAAATGCAGAGGAAAGTCTCATAGAAAGACTGACTGCAAAAAATAACAAATGTCTGTTTGAACGTGAATTTAACTAAATTAAAACAGGTCTTAAGACTTGAGATATAAAAAAATAAGTGAATTATTTTTGCTCTTCAATAAGGACCCAATGTGTGGCAAGAAAGAAATTCTGAAATTTATAATTAAAATTGGTTCTAGAACTGAAAATTAAATCGGTCAAACTAAATTTTCCATGCAATAATGTACAAATTAATTCAGTTTGAAAATATTAAACAATACATATAATTTTGAACTTTGCATATATAGATTCAGTCTGGGCAATTCAAACTCAGTTTCTTATTGCACAAGTTTCTGCACTGTAATTAATTTTTCGGTGTGACCAGAATACCCGTGCAGGATATAATCAAAGTTATTATCAAATAGAGGAGAGGATCAGGCTGTTTAAAGTTTTATGAACCATTAAACTATTGAAATTAACTCTATTTGAAAGGAAGCGAGAGAAAAGATTTTAGAATGGCTGTGATATTTTCAACCCTTTTGGTTTGTAGTTGAAAGGCTGGATGCAGGATTTTACTGTAGATCAGCTGAAGTTTACTGGATAACTGCTCTTATAACCCACCAAGAATTGCATTAAAGTAGTCCAGTCGAGTTTAATCAAAGGCATTGATCACTATTTCATGTACTGCATGATAAAATATGCTTTTAAAAATAAACTTTGCATTCGACAGTCACATATTGACTCTTGTCATATAGTTTAACCAACAAATTGTACAAAAATTATACGAAAGTTTCAGTAAATTCTTAACATCACTGAAACTTTCTGGAAGCTTATTAACAAGTTTCATGTTGTCAGCAAACATATAAATGTACAAAAATTATAATAAATGTCGATCTCCAAAATGTAATACCATAAGGTACACATTTTTGTACCTTTTTCTTTTAAATGCCAAGGTTGTTTATTTCATTATCAATTTGTTCAATTCTTTTGCTGTTGCTTTCTGTCTTACAGCTCTTTGTAAGTGAAAAGAGCTCTTTAAATAATGCTAAATAAACCTAATTGATGGGGAAATTGAGGGTGGTTTGTTATTGCCTGAGATGTGTGGGTGAAGCTAATGCACAGTCTAATGGGCAGACCTACGTTTATGCAGACCTACACACGGTCTAATGGTCTAAATTCTTTCAATGTAAAGTGGTAGAGAAAGGGAACAGGGCTGGTTAACAGTGGTAACTGTGGTAACAGTTCTTCTTCACTGTCTCCACATGGTTGTTTTAGAATAACTGATAGCTGCAAATATAATTATATTTTAGATTTAAATTATGATTTTACTGCATTGCAAATCAGATTGTATTGAACTGCATTTAAGAGAGGAATATTCCACTACTCCAAAACTATTTACTCTTATCCCTTATAAAATGTCCAACAACAATTAGGTAAGAGTTTGTTGATGACTATAGAAAGCTCATAAACAGGGTAATAAATGGAAATCTACGGGCAGGCAGTTATTATTATTTTTTTTGGGACTAATGAATCAAACCTCTCTGTCTGGTAATGGCACTTAGAAGTCAGTGTCCTGCTGTTGCAAATAAACTGTGCTCTGTCTGATATGTGTGATCTTTAAAGTTTTGTGCAGATGCAATAGTTTGCAGGAGATGGATTTAGCTTGATTGACAGGAACTAGAATGTATCTGCATATCAAGATATTTTGGACAATTTCATCCAACTAAGGTAAGGTTTTGTGTCAAAGGCTCAGACACCTGATCTCAACCTCATACAGTGAATTACATCATAATGGTAAAGCACGTCTGGAAAAACAAGGCTACACCTTGAACTTTGGGATGAATAGACAATTCAATATGAATTTAAATTTGAGTGCGCAATTATTGTTTCCACAACTCACTGAAGTTGTATGTTTTACAATAGTTAAACTTTGGAAAATTGGTGAGACACATGATAGCATGCCCAAAATGAATAACCCATCCATGCCTGTGATTGCTGTTGATAAATTTCTGACCAGAGCTGAAAAATAATACAGTTCTGCAATAATAAACTCTTCAGAGGGATAAAAAAAAAAGCAAACAAAAAACACATTTGACCACCAGTGAGAAGATAATGAGAGTGAAGATTGGGACGGATGATGGATCGAGACTGAGAGAAGATATTTTGGACAGACCGCTGATAATGATAAATAGAACACATACAAAAATTGAAGCAACTATTAAGAAGAAAAGAGGAAAACAAAGAAATGAATGATTTCAAACAGCAGTCTCTGTTGAGCTAAAATAACATTGGAACAGACAGAATTCCTCAGGTTTGCTCCCACTTTTGTGCATCATGACTACATATCAATTGTCATTCCCTTGAGGTAAATGAGAGCCTTTTTCTCTCCAATTTAGAAGAGGAGAGAGAAATCAGGTCAATTTATAAGGAGTTAGCTGCAGGGTTACTTAATAGTTTAACTGTTATATTTTCAAGACGGTCCCAAATTGATAACAAAAAAACATATTTTTTCTGAGAAAAAGAATAAAAATCACACAAAAAAGTCCTTCCAACATATTCGTAAGGAAGTATCTAGTCCTATAGTTCTATCAAAATAATTGAAAAAGAGAGCCCTGCCAAGAGTAAGACTCCTCCAGTCTACTTTGTGTTTGCAGAGGTAGCACAGACTCACCAGGGATGAATTTGCCACATAGGAACATGCAGGCATCATGGGAAATTAATGATCAGGACCTCCAGGAAGTAAGCTAATGAGTCCTTGTCCCACACACACAAACACAGTGAGCCACACACTCGCATAATGAAAGATGGAGAAAGCAAGATAAGGATGAGGTCCTGTGGAGTTGAAGCCCAATACTCAGTTTCAGCTGCTAATAACTCAACGCCTTTGGTTTAAGGATGAGTGATAGTGGCAGGAGACGGAGGGGTTAGTGATCTCACAGATGCACAGATGTTACAAAATCAGATAATTAGAGAAGACCACCAGTGTCTTTCACCCATAGGAACATTGTGATTAAGGTGGCCAGCACCTCCCCTGGGGAGGCTGACAATAACCAGAGAATTAATACATAGCAGAACACCAACAAGCTAAATCCTCTGGATTAAATGTCACTCTCAAAACAAGATCCGTCATGGAATAGGCATGCCAGTGCTATTTCCTAGTGAGAAAGATTTAATGCTTGCATCTTCCTTTATGCAGTGGTTCTTCTTAGAGGTATGAAAGGAAATGAGTGGCTTAACATTCAACGGAAAGAAGGTTAACCTTATTAACTTTGAGGGGCTGCCCATGGACAAGTTTTATAAAGTGCAAAAGGGTGTTTTTAATAATCCTGTCAGGAATGCTACATTACGCACATCTGGAGTGGCTAGATGCCATAAATACCTTAAATAAATGTTGTCAGAAGGCTAGAAAATCTAAGAACTTTTATGTATCAGAACTGTCTAAATACATGTGATTAACTGATTTAGAATTGTGTTTCATCGCCCATTTGAAAAAACATTTCTTGCCCAAATTTTTACTTTCTGCTTATCAATTGAGATGGTCCTTCAAAATGTCGACATAATATCAGGTCCTAAGAATGTCATTTACTTTGTAAAGTGCATAACCTACAAAAGAGCCAAACAACATGATGGTGTCACTCCGGCACTTCCCAGATGGGGGGTGTCCCACACTTGTAAACTTCCTCCCTTATTTTCCAGATCTAACAAAGATGGTTATGGTTTCATCAAACTATAGCACATTTCCGCAAAAAATAAAGACCTTTGTTGAATTCCCAGTCAATTTTTTTTTTCTTATTGATGCTTCAAGATTTACTAAATTAATTGTTTCTTCCTCATTAAGTGCCATTAGGCCTATACTTGTAAATGACTTGTTTCATTAAAGATAATGGCATTTTTTCAGCTAACCAACACATTCACAAGCTCTCTGCTTTTACGCTGGGGCAGATGCACACATTTTGCATAATAGCACATCATTCTTTGGGATGATGGAAATTATATGGGAATTATATATCTTCTTTTTAAGCAATGTGATGGCTTGATATTCCCTTTATCAATTCACTTTAATTTATTTTACTGATGAACATGTCTCTTTGAGGTATTGGGATATCATACCCAATAATGAAGTGAGGTCTTTATTTCTCTTTCTGATATCCTTTCTAAATCTGTTTGGCCTTGACGTCATCTCAGCTAAGAAAATAATGTTCTCCAATAAACTAAGATGTTGTGAATGAACCCATCAGTTAGGACCAAATTTGTTCCTTCTCATATAGTTTTAGGCCATTGTGATAATAATGCATGAAAAAGTTCAGCAACAACCTGTTACTTTATTCTCCTGCATCTCATAAAAAATGCATTAAAGGAAAAGCTGGAGATATTGCACTCAGAAATGTATTTGTATATAGAACCTTTAGTCTTTTATGTTAGTTTTTTCTCCATAAAGACGGGGACATTTATCATCTCTCTGCCCTGGGACCTGGTTTCGTACAATCCGTCTTTGCTATGTAAAAAGGTCAAACTAATTGATGTTGGGTTTTACTGTAATAAAGAAGCAGTTGCAGGCGGTGCCCCCACACCAGTGGGCGCACCTCTCAAGGATTTAACTGTTGCACTCTAGTGTCAAACAAAACCACACCCTTAGGAGCCGATTGGCCAGAAGTTTCCCCAGCCCCGCCCTCAGCTTGGTGCATCCGCCTGTTTCTGCCAAACCCGTTGGCAGCTTCTATATTGGATTTAATTGATTAGAAAGCCTTTCAAACTCAGGTGATGTCTTCCTTTGAAGAGATTTCTACTTTAAAATAACATTCTGGCTGTGAGCAAATTCTCAGGAGCATTATTTTCTTATGTGGAGTCTCACCTTGCGTTTTTATTACCTCTGATTTTGTTTTGTTTTTTGTTTTTTTAGTTTCTTCTTTTTTCTGCAAGATTTGAACAGGTGTTGTGTGGGGCATCATGCCAAACGGGAACAGTAGCTGGTATTGTGCAGATGCGGCACCGTGCATGAGTTGGTGAAACTTTAAAGTGCAACTGAAACAGCTGATCGGCAAAGTTCTCTGTCAGGTCTGCCAACCTGACCTCCTCCCTCTGCACCGCCTGAAGGAAGAACAGCTTCTCCAGGATGGTTTGCTTTGGAGCACCGGTACCTGCGGGCGCATGGAAAGCAGCAGTTTTCCTCCTCAATATCATCTCTGTTGTGGCAAAGAGACACGTGGTTCACTGGAACTCCACAAACACAAGGTGAGAATCTATCCGATCTAGAGCAGTAGTAGATCAGATCAGATCAGATCAGATCTGGCTCATTCTGTCTTCCAGCCTTTGCGTAAAACAAACCCAGCCGGTCTGAACTTGCCCCAGCCACACTGTTGCACAACTCTGAGCTCCTGAAGCATGACTCGGAGCTTAGTTTGTTTAAAAGAATCTCAGCTATGCAGCTGATCGCGTCCTTGTGGGCTTAATTAAAGAGGAGCGTAAAGCAGGTTTGATTGCGTAAAGCCTAAAGGCTGTAAGGCTGGTTGAGTTTCGAAAAGCCAGGTTGATACAGTGGAAATCAGGGTTCACCTAAGACCCGTTTATCTGCTCTTCCCTTCCTAGTGCAGCCTCTTATCTTTCCATAATAACCACACTGCAGTTACTTATTATGATATTTAAACACAGTCAGAAATATGGGTTTCTCTTTAAATGTTTGTTGTGATTAATGACAACAGATAACATTCTCACAGCACAGGTGTTCATTAAGGTCTTAAGTGCTTTTGTGCATTGGTTAAATGATGCAAAGATGTGTGTAATGGGTTGATTGGGGCCATTAGGATGGCAGAGTGAGGCTCAGCTGCATATCCGGGTGATTCAGGGTGGTCTAATTGAGGGGTTGAAGTGTGTAACCTGAAGGTCTGGGCACAAAAACACATTAAACATTGTCTTACAGGCTTGTTTAGAGACTCTCACTACTACAGTCGGCTTCTAATTAGAAATGTTGACATTTTTCCTAGATTGGCTTCACAATTTGCAATTAAATTGCAAATGTTCATACCTGTTCATTTATATGCATAACTGCCTGGGAAGCCAAAAGGCAAAAGCTTTTTTTTTATGGACACTATGGCTAGTGGCCTTGCAGGTTACTGACCCTCTCTACAAATGACTAAAAGGACAAGTTAAAGAAGATGTCTGTTTAGAGTATTGTGATTTGATATTATACAATTGAGTGGAAGGAGTGTGATAGGCATAACAGAAGGAACTCGAGCAATGATAAGTCTTTGCTTGTCAGTTTTTCTTTTTAAGATTTGGTCTGCAGGAAACCAAATGGAAACGTCCATGAATTTAGCTGACCTGAACCAAACAAACCGTTATGGCTCAGAAAATGATTACATCCAACTCAAAGGCTATCAAGTAGATGGTTATTGATACTCTTCACATGGAGGCTAAGCCAAATAAGGATTTGCTAAAGTAGGTAGATGTTCAGAAAAATGTGTACAAGCAGTATATTGGAAAGTTTAGTGGAAGGTAGAGCTGTGCATGCACATGCAGCATTGAGAGGACTGTGAAGCAAATCCCATTAAGAGTTCATGGATGATTCACAGACTTCAAAGAATAAGATTGGGTTGTATGCTGAGCGTGAGTTTCTAACTACATTTAAAGAAAAAAATGGTTACTCTTGAGGTAAGAGTAACCATAGGTTGTTATGAGATTTGCATAGTAGGGTGACTTTGCGTGTGTGTGTCAAGGTTTTCTAATGTCCAAATATTTTTACGAATGGGAAATATGTAAAATGGTTTAACTGTAAAACAATGGTTTTACACAGTTTTTATCTGCTAAACTAATCAGTAATATATTATACCTTGTTGCTGTTTTCTCCTAATGGAACATTGCTGGGTTGTTAGTCATGCTACCTGTTCTGGTAGCAGTGCTTCATTTGCCAGTGAATACGTTGTGGCCTGTCAGAAGTAGTTTTAACTGCATTGCCTCTAAGGTTATCTGTGGTGCTTTTAGTTTTCATACCAACACTGTCCCTATTTTATAACCCAAAAAAAAACATTTCCAGTCTAAAGAATTTCTTATTCTTGTGGTTATACCAAGAGACTAAGTGGAGAAGCCTTTATTCAGGTAGTTGCCCAGCAGTGAGCACAGTATGTAAAAGCAAGGCCATTAAAGAAATAATGTACCTCTCCAACACTTTTTTGAGCCCTAATTATAGACTTCATACTAGTAATGGTATGATACATCCCTTCAGTTCTCTGAAAATACCTTGATAGAGCTGACCGAGCCATACAAAGTTTAAATTTTTTGCAAACCCTTTCTGCTCAGAGAGCTACCTGGGGGGAAATATTCAGACCAGCTTTGCTTTAGCGGACTTGTCACTAAAAAGTATGTTTCAGGGAGTTGAAACTTTGCCAATATATGCACCCTTTTAACCAGAGAGGCACGTTGTGGGGAGTAGGTAAGCTATGCATGCAGATTATTTCCTTGTTGTGATTAAACGTTCATGAAATGCACAAAGTTTGAGTAGAAATGCAATGCTTCTCTACGGCTACAATATATCTTCACCCATAGGTCTTTTGTTGTGAAAGTTTTTTTGTTTTTTTTTGCACATGTTCTAATGAAGGATCTAAAGCTCAAATTCTAAAGCCAATAATGCCCCCCTCATATCTTTTTTTGGTTATTACTGCTGTTCTTGTCTTGTCTACAGTACCTATATTGCTTCTATCTTGGTGAACAAAACCTAGAGCTGTAAATGGGGATCCATCAGAAACGTGATTTTTTTGGAGGAACTCTGCAAGGATTAGGAAGCACCTTCACGTCCCCCAAAGATTTGGGGATGAATGGTCACAGCCAGCGGCGGGGCTGCACACACTTTGCCGCGCAGCACACAATCACAATGCCATCAGGTGGAGGGTAACCCACTGTGGCAGAGAATCACTCTCATCAGCAGCATCACCCAATCACAAAGCTATCAGTGGATCTGTGATGTCCAGAATACCCCGGACTCCCGCTCCTCTTCTCTCCTTCCCACCCTTCTTCTTCATTAGCTCCCTTGTTACATCCTGCTCTCCATTTCATTTATTTGTCTGTGCTCCCCCTCCTTTATATCTCATGACTCCCTCCTGCCCTGTGATGGTTATTGGCAGTGTGATTAGTTGAGCTTCAGTCATTTTCCCATCCCATATTTTCTATTAGCTGCCTTCTAGCCAACCAGGTTATCTTGAGGCTTGTAAAAGCAGTCGGGCAGAGTGGAGAGAAGCACAGAGTCTGGGATACCATGCTTAATGTTTGCTACATGCTGCACTGCAAGAGTCTAAGCTGCACAATTCGATTTCTTGCACTTCAGCTAGAAGAGTTGAATGTAGCTGATGTTATTTTATAGTTTATATAGTAATTTTAGACGCAATAATACTATTAATATTTGCTAATAGTGTTGAAATTCCTTTGAGGCTTTTCTGCTTAGATCTGTTTAAACAGCTTGACCCCTTATTGTTCAGATCAGTTAGTCGACACAAGACGGTAGAGGAACGTTTAGTTGCTCTTATTTCCCTCAGGAGTGAGAGAAGGAAACAACAAGGCTGGTATTGATTTGGAGAGGAGGTTAAAAATTCACCCTTATTTTCCTTTCAGTGACTTGACTTTGAGATATATGCCTAAATTCTGCTTTATATGTTTTGTGTCCATGTGGAAATTAGAACTTCAAAAAAATATTCAATAACACATCATTGCAATATCAAAATGGGCAATAATACAGTGTCAAATGACTTATTGCATGTATATTAATAACTCATTTAAATAAATAACCTTATATTGCAGCAGCTACTTTGAGCTGATTTTAATATTTTACAAAATGTCATCCCATCACAACGGGCACCTAAAATGCACCCTCAAACAGCTAAATAAAAACTATTGTATTGAAGTTGTGAGTTTCTTTAAAACTTTTCTTCTAGTTGTTAGCTAGTCAGCCCTGCATACTGATATTCAGGGTTTATTGCATCTTTGTTAGTTTACTTCTTAAAGCAATAGTTTAGGAGTTTCAAGCATGGATACAGAGAGTCGAGCAAACTTAGTGCATCATAATAAAAACTAGGGCCGAAACAATGAATCACGATTGATCAATTATTGAAATAATTGTCAACTAATTTAGTAATCAATTAATTGTTAAATGTAGTATAGAGACTGTAAAACATGCCTTTAGCTGATAGAGCAACCCACTTGGAGCAGTAATTATATCAAAATCGTAAAAAAAATAAATGAATAAATAAACATTTTGCATTTAACATAAAAAAATGACTCTGTTATATGCTCTATCCAGAATTCCACAAGTGCTAAAGTTACGAGTTTCACCTGGTTTTAATTCGTAAAAAGTCTTCTTCAGGGAAGCGTTTGATATACATTGATATCATTAATCGAATAATTGAAAGAATAATTGACAGATTAATCAATTAACAAAATAATTTTTTATTTGAGCCCTAACAGAAACACATATTGGTATAGCTACAGTACTTGGTAACAGTGGCGGTTCCAGACCAAATGTACCAGGGGGCCAGGAGGGGGCCAGCATGTTTTCATGGGGGCACAGAAAAGCATGAAATAATCAGGGCAAGGGATTCAAATATGTCAAGAGAGCTTTCTCTTACGAGGTCAATATACGTACATAATTTAGGAATTCTACATATTTTTCACTTCATTTAAGTTAAAATGACCATTTTAAAAAAATCTAAATTAGAACTCAAGAAAAAACGATAACTTCAGCTGTAAAAATTAGAGTATTTTTTTTTTATTTCATTTTGGAAAAAAAAAAAAAAAACACTGGGATTCTATCTCAATAGGCTTTACGTTAACAACTCAGGACTTGGCTAACTGAGAATTTAAATATCGCAAGTTTTTGTTCACACTCATTGGATAAAACCTGTTTTGAATAGCAAATGCCCCAAAACACAAATACAAATAAAAAAAACAACAACAAAAAGCCCAAATACATAGGTTACAAAAGGAGCTCATGTTATGTGACTTGTTGGAGGACAAGGTCTCTTTAGTGTGGTTGACAGGAGACAGTCTCTGGCTGCCAGGTTTCCTTCGACATCTAGATTTATGGTTTTAATGAAGCGGGGGCAGTGGAGTGGAGACAGAAGAGCCTCGTCGCTCTGCCCTTTGCTTGCTAATATGCCTGTAACACAGGCTCTGTGAAACACATTTAACAGGCGCACATTTAGCACCCTCCTGATTGAAAAATGGAGCTCTGTAATGGAAGTGATGGGGGT